CAGAACTTCCACCATATAAGCTAAAAACAGATAACGAGATTCAGGAACTCTTTGATTCTATAGGGTAGGAAAAATAGTACTTCAGCCCATTATTCAGCATTTTGGCTAGGTGTCTCGACCCATATCTGATTCCATTTTATTTTTTTTTACCCTCACGATAGGCATTCTTATAAATTCCACCATGTGTGCTATAGATACCTGTATTAGAATAGGTTTTCTCATCACAGACAAGGTATATTGTTTTAGGACAGGTTTTATAATGTATGGCATATCCTGAAGTACGCCAGCACCCTTTCCCACAAATCGAACCATCTTTCTTGATATATTGGCAGGATAAACAATCCATATGAAATAATTTTGATATTAATAATCTTAAAACTTCATCTTCACTTTTATTATAGATATTCAAATTGCTTTGCTTTAGCGTCTGGGATTAAGGAATTTTTCAAATTGAATTTTTTTTCACATAATATAATTAGATAACAGTTACTATTGACATGGCTACCAAAACAGCTACCCCAAAGACTCGAATACCTAAAGATAATAACTTTGTATTAGTCTTAGAGCAGTTCCTAAAAAAGCATAATTTGACGGCTGATTCTACCCCAGAACAATTAAGCAAACATGCTCCTGAACTTGATGTTTTACTTCCTGATTAGATGGCTCGCAGGTGTGTTAAAGTTGCTCTTGCCAGAGGCACTAATAACAGAGGCACTGATAATAGACGCTCATTTAGTAAAGAGTAGATAGAGGCTCTCTTACCAGATAAAAGAAAGGGAAAACTCACCATTAAGGGAAGGGTGGAATACTGTGCTAAAGCCGGTGATTTTGTAGATATTATCGCTAATCATTGGGCAGTGGGTCTGAAAAATAAAGATGAAAATGAAATCGTTGCCAGTGTCTCACGTCAGTTAACATTTCGTGTAAAGTTAGCAGAAGGTGGTGTAGATCCTGCAATTATTGAAGAATTTGCCAAAGACAAGAATCTTATCCAAGATTCTAATAAAATTCAGAAAGAACGAACTAAAAAACGAATGGTTAATCTGAACAGAATTCCTATATATTTCTCCTTAAAAATGTAAGTAAAAGGATTCAGAACATGGATATTTCCAAAATTCCTACTAGAGAGAATCTTGCAGATGTGATAGTAATGTTGAGTATGAGACCTGCAGAAGTAAGATCTCTTCAGATCAATATCTATGAACTGGATCCTTCAAACATTTCAGCATGATACAAAGATAGCTATTCTTAGTATTGCACAGGTTATTTAAAAGTAAAGGAGAAAAAAAAGAGAATCCTGAACCCTAACCATTTCTTTCCATGGAGAAGAATCCAGAACATGTCAGGGAATTACTCACCTGGATCCGAGATGTAATTAAGGCTAAAAAGTTACGTGATCCTGTCTATACTGATAGTGAAACATGTAATGCTTGGCCATTTAATGAATTCTTAAAGCAAGAATCTTATAAAACTATACCTAAAAAATTAAGAGATTATGGAGCTAAACACACTTCCAGAATCTATGGTGGTAAGAATCCAACTTCCCAGCATCTTAAACTGCTTTTGAGAATCGCATTAAGGCAAAAATCTGACCGCCTTGATGCAGGAGATAATTATGCTATGGGTGATACTGAGTCAAAAGACAATGGTACTGAATCTGAATCTATTCCCGAGGCAAATAGTTTAAAACCCCAAATACAGGTTTCTTTGTCAGTGTTCCAACCTGATCCTCAAAAGTCTCAAACAATAGAAATGGATTCCATGTTAGCTGAAATTAGTGCAATGTTAGCTGAAATTCGAAAATAAATTCCTCCCTTGTGCCTTTGATACTGCGGAAGATAAGCCGTTTAGGTGAAAATTTTTTTGGCAAATTTCAGCGAACAATATTCGCCTAAAATCATGTGTCCGTTCCAATTTGGAATGCAGATCTTTGATCGAAGAAGGGTGATCGCATACTTTATTTTTTCGTTTGAAGATACAACATATAATACAGACTATTTATAGCACAATCAAGAATTTTTATTATACTAGAACTATTAGAGCAGATTTTACATTTTTTAGCAATATATAAATTTCTCTATCCTACTCTATATGTTTCCCGATTATGGTACAGATGTGATGCACCTATTCTGTGAAATTGTATCGAATTGAGGGGAAAAGACTTATATTCTGGGCAATCTCTTCCAAATGATTATAATTACTGTGTGAAGGATCGCCCTCAATTAAATAAATTCATAAGGATAGAACGTGCAAAGGATCTCTCTCGATTGAAAAAATTCATAAAGTTAGTATGTGAGAAGCAAACGGCAGTTTATGGCTCAAATGTAACTCATCTCGAAATATCATACTACCATTCATTTTCAGATAAAAAATCATAAGCATTGTACATTCATGCCCAAATATAACCCATTTGAGTTTCATAAATAGCGTAATATTTAGTAATAGAGCATTAGAACTGATAGCGGGTTTATACTCGAATCTGAAGTATCTCAATCTGTGCAATGATCGGTTAGGTGGCTTTAGGGGCTTTTGTGCTCGAGAGGTGAATGATGAAGATCTAACTGCAATCGCAGATTTATGTCATAAATTAAAATATCTAAATATTTTTAATCGCACAGAGTTTTCTGAAATATCAATTTGTAATGTTATTCATTCTTGTCCAAGACTCCAACAACTTGATTTTAGCTATTGTGAAATTACTGATATAACTATCGAAGAAATTGCTAAATCAAGTCTTAATTTAAAATATCTAAATCTGAAAGGGTGTTTTAAAATTAGCAAAGAAG